TCTCGCACGTGTAAACAAGGGAAGCTACTCCAGAACACTTCCGTTCGATCCAGCGATTGTGTCGCCTTGTGGCAGGTGCATGTCATAAAACTTCACACTCCGTTTGTATGGGGGGGGGGGGGGGGGAGATGTGTTCGAGTAGATGTGGCGTGTGCTTGTTGATGTGCTGTGTTAGATATGTGTGTGAGTGTTGATGTGCGTGTATGTTGATGTGTGTGTGTGTGTGTGTGTGTGATGTGTTCGAGTAGATGTGGTGTGTGCATGTTGATGTGCTGTGTTGGAGTATATGTGTGTGAGTGTTGATGTGCGTGTATGTTGATGTGTGTGTGTGTGTGCGATGTGTTCGAGTAGATGTGGTGTGCGCTTGTTGATGTGCTGTGTTAGATATGTGTGTGAGTGTTGATGTGTGTGTGTGTGATGTGTTCGAGTAGATGTGCTGTGTGCCTGTTGATGTGCTGTGTTGGAGGATATGTGTGTGAGTGTTGATGTGTGTGGGTGTTGAAGAGATGGAATTATTAAAGGGTTGGGGTGGGGTCGTTGTTTCTTGAATATTATTATTTCGTCGCCTACATACTGAGGTGGTATTTTTGAGTCGCAGAAGAAAACATAAACATTGATGTAGTAACTTATAGATAACAACAACTGATTGTTTTTACAAGCTTTTTTTTTACTTAGAACACAATGTCCGTTTGTTTGTTTGTGGGTTTATGGGAACAATCTTGTAACTCAATTTTGATCCACTTAAAATGCACCAATTTCGTTGAAACTTTCCAGATACTTTCTTTTTCGATGATAATCCACGAATACCAATTTTTAAATTTTTATTATTGATATGACTACTGACGATTTTTAGAAAAAGTCTGAGTTAATATAATGAGATAGCGACACCACAATGTCATGCCCTAAAAGCTTAAGCTATTTCCAAGATTATATTTGATTCAGTTGACTGAAGCTATTGGATATTTTTAGTTTAATATTACTAGTGTCTAGGTCTTCCACTAAAATTTTCTGTCAAATTAGGAGGACAACTGTCCTGTATATTCAAGGAAAAATTTCCAAATGAGAACCGTCGGATTAAAAAGAATAAGAAAATCTACTTAAAAGTCTCAAGTATTGCACATCTCATTACAAGCATTTTAAAGTGGGACAATTTCCTTTTAAAGTTGTCTAGATGGTATCTTGGTTTAACGAGAAATGCTCCCCTTCCCCCGTCAGTCATCCCCCCACCTCCCACACATATACACACACATACATACACACACACACACATCAGCAGCCCACGTCTGACTCCCGGATATGACGTGAGGTCTCGTCTGAAGTGAAATGTACCAGACGATTAGCATGACCTGGTGGTAGGTCTGACCTGATGATAAGTCTGACCTAATGAAGACTGAACTAATGATAAGTCTGACCTGATGATATGTCTGACCTAATGATAAGTCTGACCTGATGATAAGTCTGAACAAATGAAGACTTAACTAATGATAAGTCTGAAGTGTGACCTGATATATCTACAGGATAAGTCTCTTATGATAAGTCTAACATAGTGATATCTTTGATCATGTCATAGTCCTGACCTCATCATTCTCAAAATATAATACCTTGATCGTAGCATTTTAAATGGTGTTAAAATAGCATTTCGCTACAATAAATCACACGTTGTAATTATAACTTTAAATAACGCTTGGTCGGAGCGCGAGGTATGGGAAGGGCACATTGTCATAAGTTAACCTCTTCAAAGACCTTTCTTAGAAATTTAATATTAATAATCATAATTAAATTGTAAATTGTATTCGGAAGTGTGTTGTAAAAAAAGATCTGGATTTTTATAAGGAACCTCAGATCTGTAAAATAAAAAATGGCCAAAAAAAAAAAATCAATTCTATAACATACAACGACCACCCCACATAAAATGCCGATAGACGCCCCACACAAACCACGCCCCACACCAAAACCACCCCACATCAAAACCACCCCACACACATACCACCACCCACACACAAACCACCCGACATAAAATGCCGGTAGATACCCCACACAAACCACGCCCCACACCAAAACCACCCCACACCAAAACCACCCCACACACATACCACCACCCACACACAAACCACCCGACATAAAATTCCGATAGACATCCCACAGCGGAAGCAGGATATGAGTCGGTTGACCATGCGCATTAGAATCCTGGGATATGAAGGCGTCTCGAACATTCCAACAGACAGCGCCATGTTTGACGTCCAGTTTGAGGGGACAGCGGGAAAAATCAACACCCCCAGCCAAGGGCAAACAACTCGTGATTTCTGTAGCGCTGTCAGTGTGTCATCGCTATTTGATACACACAAGATGTAGGCTACATACATTACATGTAATTAGGTTTATCTGTAGGTTTATCATTAGGTTTTAAATTTATGTTCATATCTAGGTTAATAATTAACTTTGTAATTAGTAGGATTATGATTTTGTTCATGATTTAGTTTACGTTTATGTTTAGGTTTAAGTTTAGGTTTATGTATAGGTTTATAATTAGGTTTATGATCAGGTTTATGTTCAGGTTTATATCTGGGTTAATAATTACGTTTATGATTAGTAGGTTTATGATTAGGTTTATGATTAGGTTTATATTCAAATTCCAGATAAACTTCATTGATAAAATTTTTCCGGACAACTATAAATACAAGTATGTCTATGAAAAAAAATCAGTGGTTGACGATTCAGTCTATTGATCTCCTCGCTAGGACTTATCAAAGTACATTTATAATAATGTATCTAACCCCAGCCTGACCCCCCCCCCACACACACACCAACACTTTACTCTAGCACTGGTCCTAACAGTGATATCCACAAATCTTGTGACGATTCTAGACCGCATTGTCCTGCCTGTAAACACAAATTTTAGATCTAACATAAGCCTAACCCCAACCGTCACGAAAAATATCAGCTTAGTTTTTAACTCGAAACATTTCTGTCTAGGCATGAAAGTAACAAATATTTATTGATAGGTATGATAGATAATGCGTTATTATTTTTCCTTCTATTTAATACTCTCTAAAAACATGTCGAACGTATAGTTTTTAGCGATATTTCAGTCGCCCTCCCCCACCTCCCCCCTCCCCCAAGTTATCTTGTCATAATCCAACAGCCAGACTGTCTAAACAAACCTTGACTTGACTTGACATTCGCCTACGCTTCTCGGACGTCGGCGCCCCTCAAGTCAAGTTTTTTTTGTACCTCACTGCGCTTGGCCAATTTGTGTGGTTGTATGCCTCCCCCTCACACACACTCCCCCACACATACCACTCACCGCTGTGATGTGTTGACCCTCCTGTGACCAAATTATCACCCGGACTTATAGAACACAACGTCCACATTCCTATGTTATTGTTTTGTTGGTTTATCAGGCGGTGATGAGGTCACTGCATCCTTCCGCTCGACAAAAAAAAAAAATTTTGAAAACTTCGACGCCGCATTGGCGAATCGATACACCGTTACTATTTTTAGACCATTGGCCTACTTATGTTGATACTAGAATAGATAGACGATTAGTACCTTAACTGGAATGTTTCAGTTGTAGGCAAGGGTGAGCCAGCATTGTATTTGTTATGAGAAGTCTCTCTTAGTGTTTCTTTCAGACATATTTCTCCTTGAAAGGGGGGGGGGCACTTGAACTTTTCAAGGAGGGGTAATGGAGGTCGACACTGGTTACAGATTATATTTTCTACATACATTATATTTTGTTCGTAGGGGGGGGGGGGGGGGCAGATGCTTGAAAGAAACTCTGGTCTCGTTCGTATTTGGGTAAGAGCTAGGGCGTTAGTTAAATGTTTAGATAGTGACACTAGCAACATTGATGCGGATATACTTTTTCTTTAAGTCGTGTTGATTTTTACTTTCTCGTAAAGGAAGTATTGTAATCGTGCACAAAAATCACATGAAATTTTGACAGTTTTCATTGTTTTACAGTACTTTAAAATATACGGAGTATAGGGGACTTAAATTAATTCGGGCTAAAATTCTAAATCTAGATTTATAAAAATTTCGGCGTTTTACGCGTAATAGAGTCGGAAAAAGGGGCTTATTTTTTATTTTATTTTGTACCACCTAATCAAATGGGTGCAGGGGGATAGGAAGACAGAACTTTCGATACTGCTACAAAGAAATAAATAAGAAATATCTTAAATACAAAGTGTTTCCGAGTTGTGTCCCTTTCGTTGTTGAGTAGATCTGAAGAATTTTAGTCTTGTGATGTTGGTGTGTTTAGCCTAGGTCAGGTTTAGAGTTATAGTAACTGAGAGCGTTGGGGGTTAGGGTTAGGTTGGTCTTTTAACCAGATCTAAAGTAAGATGATAGTGTTTTGTAGGAGTTTGTTTAGAGATTCGATGATAGGATACACGGATAACGGTACAGTCGGGTTGCAAACGATACATAAGTAAACAAACAATACACGTGTTTTATCTACGTATCACACAGGTATAAAATGGATTTTATTTTCTCTTTCTTGTTGTCAGACCAATGCTACACCAATATAACATTTAAAAAAATTCTTGTAGTCAGACCAATGCTACACCAATATAACATTTGAAGAAATTCTTGTTATCACAATTTTTAATATTGCAATAATATAACATTTAAAAAAAATTCCTTTGTACCAAACTTAGCGGGCCATATAAATATAACAAAATTTTTGTGTATTGGTGCCAGAATTGACGTGAAAGAGTTCTCTTTGCTCCTTCTTCAACATAGCGCCTCAACCATAATCCATAATGTTCGACTTTGTCTGGTTCCATGTTTCTAGAATGAGCGTGCCATATAAATATATTTGTTTTTTTTTGCTTCCTGTTGCTAGATTTTTGCGTGCCACATATACATTTTTTTTTGTTTTAGTTACTGTAATTTAATTATTATTTTTTTTTTTTTTTTTTTTTTTTTTTGTTTTTTTTTTGTTTGCAAAACTTCTGCGACGTAAATCTCTTAACATGTTTTTGTTTTTCTTGTCTCAGACTTCTGAACGAAGGTGAGAAAAAACCTTTTATCGAGGAGGCCGAGCGCCTGAGGCTCCAGCACAAGAAGGACCACCCCGACTACAAGTACCAGCCCCGCCGCAGGAAGGCTCCCAAGGGCGGCAACTCCGCGTCATCAGGGGGACACAACTCCAAGTCCTCGGTCGGCGGACGCGACACGTCGTCGCCTAGCGACGATTGTTCCAGCGAGTGTTCCAGCCAGCAGGGCAATTCCAACGGTCCGCCCACCCCGCCCGTCACACCCAACCAGCACGAGGCGGTCAAGTGCATGTACGACAGACGTGGGCACCGGGGCTACATTATGGGTGAGTACATCACGTGGGCTGGGTACTCACACGCAGGTCTTAGGGGTAGTGTCAGACACACATACAGGTCTTAGGGGTAGTCACACACACACAGGTCTTAGGGGTAGTCTCACACACACACACACATACACACACACACAGAGGTCTAAGGGGTAGTCTCACACACACACACACACAGGTCTTAGGGGTGGTCTAACACACATACATGTCTAAGGGGTAGTCTCACACACATACAAGTCTAAGGGGTGGTCTCACACACACATACAGGTCTAAGGGGTAGTCTCACACACATACAAGTCTAAGGGGTGGTCTCACACACACAGGTCTAAGGGGTAGTCACACACACATACAGGTCTAAGGGGTAGTCACACACACATACAGGTCTAAGGGGTAGTCTCACACACACATGTCTAAGGGGTGGTCTCACACACATACAAGTCTAAGGGGTAGTCTCACACATACAGGTCTAAGGGGTGGTCTCACACACACATACAGGTCTAAGATGTAGTCACACACATACACAGGTCTAAGGGGTAGTCACACACATACACAGGTCTAAGGGGTAGTCTCACACACATACACAGGTCTAAGGGGTAGTCTCACACACACATACAGGTCTAATGGGTAGTCACACACATACAAGTCTAAGGGGTGGTCTCACACACACATACAGGTGTAATGGGTAGTCTCACACACACATACAGGTCTAATGGGTAGTCTCACACACACATGTATAAGGGGTAGTCACACACATGCCTTTCTAAGGGGTAGTCTACCAATAACGGCCATTTTTTTTCCTGATATAATTTCCGCCCCTATATCTAATTCCTTTTTAATACTTAACACATTAGTAAAACAGAGTTACAATAAATCGAATTTATTACTGTTTACAAAATAGTCTTTAAAAACACCGAAATAACTGGTAAAATTGAGGTTTAAAAAAAGTTTTTTTTTTACAGTGTAAGAGGGATCAAACGTTCCCAGCCACCCTACCCCTTCCATCTTTTTATCGTCTCACATCGCCACAGAAATCCCCACCCCCAAGAGTGTAGTCATTCATATACAAATGGGTATCGCCCCGAGATTAAATCAATATTGCAGTGTAATTGTACCAATCACGTCAAGTTAATTTTATCGACTGGCGCAGTGTCTAGGCATAGATGTGTTACTTGTATTAATATTTCAGAAATATATATTTGAAGTCCTTACATATTAGCCAATATCATTTGTAAGTTTGAAAAAAAAAATGTAAACATCAGAATTTGCTAGAAAATACTTTTGATTTTAGACGTTAGGATTTTGCTATCTGTATTGATCGACATTATAATAATTTATTAATCGGATAGTTAAAATATTAATAAGTTAACTTAAAATAAAAAAAAAAAACCTCAGTAAACTTTGACATCGTCCTTGACTTTGTTTTCTGTCTTCTCCTTGCAGGACCTTCCGGTCACCCGATTGACTTTAGCCGCATGGACCTCAGCCCGGAAGTGATCGAACAGTTCGATGACCAGGACCTTGACCAGTACCTCCCGCCGCCGGGCATGGGGCACCACCTCCCCCAGCACAACCCACACCACAGCGACAACAGCTACCCACCCTGCTACATGGGCGCGAGCATGCAGCCCGCCCCCACCGGCTCGCCCGGGTGGTCGTCTCCCTACCGGATGTCCTCCTCGGCCGCCCCCTCCTGCCTCCCTCCCTACCTCCCCCACAGCTCCAGCCACACCACACTCCACACCATGCAGGCACCGTACGACCTCTCCGAGCAAGGTCAATCCTCCACAAGGTCACCTCCGCTCACCTCCTCCAGCGGGACGCTGGGGACCACATCCCAACCCTCGCCCCAGAACCTCGCCACCACAGACAACTTCCTGCACTCCAGCAACCCGGCCGAGTGCAAGTACCGCGGCGACGACAGCTGCTCCGTCAAACTGGAACAGCACCAACAGCAGCAACAGCAATCCCAGGCTCAAGGACTACGATCCCTCTCCATGCAGCCGCAGTTCCGGTGCGACCCCAAATACGACCCCTCCGGCTACCCCAGCAGCCAGCCGACCCCCTCGCGGTACGCCGTCGACTCGACGCAAGCCAGCTACAACCACATGCCCGGGCCGTACGTACCCCAAAACACCAACGGCGTCCTGAGCTCCCCCAGCTACCAGTACAGCATGGGGCTCCACAGGCAGGGGATGTTCAACGCCATCCCCGCCGCGGTACCTTCTGAGCAGACGTGGGAGAGATTTGGATGAGCAGCCGACATTTTGGATGCGTAATCCATAATCCATTCTTAGGCAAATCATTAAAAAAAAACTAATCTCGCCCCGGCTCAAGAAAAACTCAGCAAAAATATTTTCCCAGCCATAAACTCGTTATTAATAACCAGCTTCAAATGTTGTGTCGCCAAACTTTGTAGATAATTATCTACCTGTATGTATAAAAAAAATGCTCCTGTTTTTTTTAAAAAATGAAAGACGTAACAAAAACGTAAATAACACGTTTATGTTTGTGTCGGTCAGTGCAAGATAAACGATGTGTGTCGCACAAGCCAAGAGATGAACTATCAGTGACCATTTGTTGTTCAACCACAGAATATGGTGGTTTTTTTTCTTGGTGGTTTTTAGGTGGTTTTTCTAACAGCTTTCTAATGCTCAATCCTGCAGTTCAATTCACGGTCAGTGCCAAAAACACGAAGTGTGCTGTCTAGTACAACAGCAGACATCGACAGGGCTGTTCAGTACAGCAGACATAAGGCTGTTCACATCGGCAGCGCAAACAAACAATGCTGTCCTATATGACAGCACAAACAATGATGTCCCATAAAACAGCCCAAAACAATGCTGTCCTATAAAATAGCACACAACATTGCTGTTCTATAAAAAAAATAGCACAAAACATTGCTGTTCTGTAAACAGCACAATGCTGACAATCTACAATAATTTACAAGAACCTTAAAAAAATTTAAAATAATAATATTTAGAGTTATAAGCGAATATTAATGTTACATAATACTTTATTTTAAAATCCAGAATGAATACTATTTATATTGTTTGAAACATCGTAGAAAGTAGAGTTTTTAAAATATGTTTTCGCTGTATACATGTTTTATTTTTTTTTTTAAATATATTTTATAATGCTACTGTCGTTGTCATAGTGAGCACTATAGAGAGTGATGTGTGATGTTATGTAATAGATGTACACATTACACGTGTACACGTGTGTTTTTCAAACTTTTTACTACGTGTACTCAAGAGATTAACATAATGTTTAGACGTGTTTCATAGGAATCAGTGTAGAACCTAAGAACGTTCCTTTTGTCAGTTTAAATCAGCTCTGTAGCTGTAGTCAGCTAGAACAGTCTGAAACAGCTGGTTGTTGGCAGTCTAAAATAAGACGTAGAGCTGTTTCTGACGGGCGACTAACATGCCGGTTGTGGGCGTGTTTGTTCTAACACGTCACTTCCTGATGTTGGGTGAGGTCATACACTGACCCGGCGAGTGTATGCGGGTGAGCAGGTCATTGTTTGCTACCTAGTTTTGTGGAGAAGGTGGGGGTTTGTGGGGTTTAAGGGCAGTATGTGTGAGAAAAAATTTCATAGTGTCCGTACATTGTTGTGTGCCATTGTCCCTGGTCACATGACCACAGTTGTATGCCAAAATGAACATCACACAGTACATCCACTCAACAAGATTGTGCTAGCCACATCTTCAAGACATTTTGTAGCCGTGTCTTCAAGACATTTTGTAACCGTGTCTTCAAGACATTTTGTAACCGTGTCTTCAAGATATTTTGTTTTAATGGTATAAATTGCTCTCACAATTTTCTATGTGCTATCTATTGGCCTTCATATTAGCCACCCTATTTCTAAAACATTACTTACAAGACATCGAAATCATCGAAATCATAAATAGTAATTACCAAACATAGCTTCAAACAACCTTTTAAACTCAATCTTTTGGCGAAAGTCTATTTATTTATTAAAGTCTATTTCAAATATTACAATAGAAGAATCGACCAAAGCACAACCAATATACATCTACATTTCTCCACATTGTTTTTTTTTGGTATCATGATACAAACATTAAAATCTTATTCATATCGTTTATCAGTCTCATTAAATAAAACCACCGAGACAAATGTATAAATAAATATAACAGAGAAAAACCCAAGACCCTTTTCTTTTTTTCGTATTCTTGTTGGTAAAACAAATCAAAGTTTGTACTAATCTAGGTATATTACATTTTTAACGTTATATTTTAACCAGTTTTTGATGTTTATATTTCTGAGTGAAACGTTTTTATTAAATCGTAAGACACGCGTCTCCCAAACATTAGACTATAACACACGTGAACCATTTTTGATATGGGATAGCTGCATGTACACAATGTTTGCATAAATTATGTTGGTGTACGAGGTATGTGTACAGCAATACAACACACAATGATCGCCAGACACGATCTTACATATACCCACACATACACCCACATATACACCCACATATATACCCACACATACCCACACATACACATACACCCACACATACATCCACACATACACCCAAACATAAACTTACACATACACCCACACATACACCCACACATACAACCACACATACACATACACCTACACATACGTCAACACAAGCACCCGCACATACACCCACACCCACACCCACACATATACCCACACATACACCAACACATACACATACACCCACACCCACACATACACCCACACATACACCCACACACTCATGCACGCTGCAGAAATTAGATTAAGCACTACTGGGCATTAACGGATATGCACACAAATCAATCCATACATGCTAACTACAAATACCCCCTCGCCTATATCCACATCTACATTCAGACCCACCCACATACACAACACCTCCACACACATATACACAACACTTACACATATAACCACATATACCCTTGTATACACCACCCACACATACACACAAACAACAGCAGCGCCTACACATACAAACACAAACTCACAAACTACACACACACACACCCACACACACATACGTAGACAACACATAAACCCACATACACTTCACATATTACACACATAACCTACACAACCAACACACCTACACTCACACCTACATACACATCACATACACCCACATACACCCACACCACCTGTACGTGTGGACTTATATCAATTGTTTTTAACGGTGCTCCGTAAACAAATATGGTCTAATTAATTGCTGAGACAATCAAAAGATAATGTACTTAATTTGTTCATACACTTTTTTTATGTTCTTACCTGTATTTCTACCTGGATTTTTTTTCTTGTAAATAAATCAAAATACGGAATAAATTATGTTTTATTTTAAAAATTATAATGACATATTTGTGTTAATGTGAATACATATTACGTGAATGAAAATACAGAACACAGACACGTATTTATGTAAAATACTGAATGGATTTATCACACAAGAGACTTAGTGTGTTGGAGTTTATATACGGGAGACATATCTTTACAGAAACTTTAAATATTGATGGTTACATTGTTTACCTGGAAAATTTATTGGTTACCTTATGTAGCAGAAAGTTTACCTTAATCTGGTTAATATTTGGTTTTTTTTTTTGTACTGGTAAACAAAATGTATACAAAATGATACTTGTGTTTTTTTTAAAAATCTGATATTTATGTGAATAATTTGATAATAAAATATTTTATGCATGAAAGCAAATTTAAAGTGTTTTGTTTTTATTAACAAAGTAGAGCCTTTGATATTCTTATACATCAAACAACGATGGTCAGAGCTTTGAAATTATTGGCAGTAGATTCAAACGTTCAAATGCGACGTTATTTTCTAATGCTTGTTAGACGTTTATGTGATGCTGAATGGAACAGTTTCACATACTGTTGTGACAACCTTGCTTTACACACAGACACACACACACATAGAAATAAAACTTTGTAACGGTTCCACCTGGTATACAACTTGATGTTCTCATTGAAAAAAATTATCATCATACAACCCGGTATTCAACTTGAAGTCCTTCTTCATCATAAAATAATCAATTTAATACCGGCGTTTTACTTGATGCCTTCATTGGAAAAATTATCAAATTAATACCGGGTATTGGATTTATCTTAATTCTGATAGTAAAAGAACACAAATTAATCAAAACAATAGCCTATATGTAATTATAGATTTTGTTGTGTTTAGCGTTTAGTCGTTTTGATGTAGGCCTACGTGTTGTAAGGTGTTGTGTGGTTGTGTGGGTTTAACATGTGTTTAGAGAATTTAGGCTGATAGTTAACTTCGTGTTTCGGTACCACGCATACAATCATACGATAAGTACCACGCATACAATTACTGCACACTCAAAACCACGCATACAATAAAACATGCAAAAGCACACATACAATCACACACACAAAACCGCACATACAACCATACTCACAAAACCGCGCACACAATTATACACACAATTAAATACAATTTAAAACAAGTTCCGCAACAAACACAAAAATAATTAATGTGTAAAAAATCCATTTTAAAAATATTCCACCAACTATATCTCCAGCATGGCATGCCTGTCTATTATGAACACGTGTATCTGGCATAAATAAAAGCATGGACAACATCTAAAAATAAACATATTTCTACTTTAAAAAATCACCCCGGCATATTTGGCCTCTATCGACTAAAGAGCTTACCATAATTAGAGTGTAAAAAATTCGACAATTTTAAACCCCAGACACATGTGTTCCATATGCTAATTAGGTCAGTGTAGACGGGTCTAAGCGGGAATATAAACTAGGATTAGCGCTACCCGCTAAGCTGTTCCCTGTCAATCACTAGCAGACGATTACACCCCGACACCCCAGACCAGGTATCCAGTCAGATATGACATTTTTGGGGACATATTTTAGGGGGTGAGAAAAAATACAGTGACGGGGACAATTGAGTGAGAGATATGTGACGTTCACACGGACAAATTTGTGAGAGAAATACGACTTTCACATCAACAAATTTGCGAGAGAAATACGACTTTCACATCAACAAATTTGCGAGAGAAATACGACTTTCACATCAACAAATTTGCGAGAGAAATACGACTTTCACATCAACAAATTTGCGAGAGAAATACAACTTTCACATCAACAAATTTGCGAGAGAAATACGACTTTCACATCAACAAATTTGTGAGAGAAATACGACTTTCACATCAACAAATTTGTGAGAGAAATACGACTTTCACATCAACAAATTTGTGAGAGAAATACGAATTTCACATCAACAAATTTGTGAGAGAAATACGACTTTCACATCAACAAATTTGTGAGAGAAATACGACTTTCACATCAACTAATTTGTGAGAGAAATACGACTTTCACATCAACAAATTTGTGAGAGAAATACGACTTTCACATCAACAAATTTGCGAGAGAAATACGACTTTCACATCAACAAATTTGCGAGAGAAATACGACTTTCACATCAACAAATTTGTGAGAGAAATACGACTTTCACATCGACAAATTTGTGAGAGAAATACGACTTTCACATCGACAAATTTGTGAGAGAAATACGACATTCACAGGGACAAATTTGTGAGAGAAATACGACTTTCACATCAACAAATTTGTGAGAGAAATACGACTTTCACATCGACAAATTTGTGAGAGTAATACGACTTTCACATCGACAAATTTGTGAGAGAAATACGACTTTCACATAGACAAGTACGAGAAAACAAATACAACATTCACAATTCACATCGGCAAATTTGTGAGAGAAAAACGACATTGACTTGACAAATTTAATGAGACAAATATGACAGTCGCTTTAACATTTTATTTGAAGTCGGTAGGTAGTTTAATCATGCGGTAGACTCTCCATCCATGTCGTGACTCCGCTGACCTTCTAACCCATGTCGTGACGCCGCTGACCCATGTCGTGACTCCGCTGACCCATGTCGTGACGCCGCTGACCCTCCACCCATGTCGTGACGCCGCTGACCCATGTCCTGACGCCGCTGACCCATGTCGTGACGCCGCTGACCCATGTCGTGACGCCGCTGACCCATGTCGTGACGCCGCTGACCCATGTCGTGACGCCGCTGACCCATGTCGTGACGCCGCTGACCCATGTCGTGACTCCGCTGACCCATGTCGTGACGCCGCTGACCCATGTCGTGACGCCGCTGACCCTCCACCCATGTCTGTCGTGACGCCGCTGACATTCCACCCATGTAGTGACGCCGCTGACTTTCCACCCATATCGTGACGCCGCTGACCTCACGTGACGCAAGCTGCCTTGGTCTACTCAAGTGTTGACCGCCACGAGAAGAGCAAGCAGACGTGTAGCAGACGACAGCTTGGATAAATCTGGTCGTATTGATTCGGTCACTCGGTCATTTGTCCAGCGCAAGCAACACGGGGAGGTTGGTCATTTTTAGTGACTGGACATTGGCGTTTTAACTAGGTCATTTTTAGTTTTGGCGTTTTAACTGGTCATTTTTAGTGACTGGACAGTAGCATTTTAACTGGTCATTTTTAGTGACCGGACATTGGCGTTTTAACTGGTCATTTTTAGTTTTGGCGTTTTAACTGGTCATTTTTAGTGACTGGACAGTAGCATTTTAACTGGTCATTTTTAGTGACCGGACATTGGCGTTTTAACTGGTCATTTTTAGTTTTGGCGTTTTAACTGGTCATTTTTAGTGACTGGACATTGGTGTTTTAACTGGTCATTTTTAGTGACTGTACATTGGCGTTTTAACTGGTCATTTTTAGTTTTGGCGTTTTAACTGGTCATTTTTAGTGACTGGACAGTAGCATTTTAACTGGTCATTTTTAGTGACCGGACATTGGCGTTTTAACTGGTCATTTTTAGTTTTGGCGTTTTAACTGGTCATTTTTAGTGACTGGACATTGGTGTTTTAACTGGTCATTTTTAGTGACTGTACATTGGCGTTTTAACTGGTCATTTTTAGTGACTGGACATTGGCGTTTTAACTGGTCATTTTTAGTGGCTGGACATTGGCGTTTTAACTGGTCATTTTTAGTGGCTGGACATTGGTGTTTTAACTGGTCATTTTTAGTGGCTGGACATTGGTGTTTTAACTGGTCATTTTTAGTGGCTGGACATTGGCGTTTTAACTGGTCATTTTTAGTGGCTGGACATTGGCGTTTTAACTGGTCAATTTTAATGGCTGCACTTTGACGTTTTAACGATTCGCTAGTGCTACAAACAACAATTGCAAGCCTCACACTATTTCACACACATTTAGACCTCACACGATATTCACATGCTTGCAAATTTCACACTTACACATTTTTGACTGGTAAATTCAAATGGTAACCAAGACAACACAGAAACGCCGTAATTCCTACGAGATTGTTTATTCAGAAATTTCAATCATTGAGCAACACGGAGGACGGGATTGTTGTTTAATATCTGAAGTACATCCCAACAATCATCTTTGTTATATTCAACTTTGACTTTTTAAAATCTCTGAGCTCACTCAGCGTTAATGGGTACCCATCAGAGAGGTCAATTCAGGTAGTTGTTGTACTGTCTAGCCTTGGGGAGCTATGATGTCCAGACATTTAATGTTAACATGCTGAAATAAACTTTAAGAATAATTTAAGATCAACTACATAATTTTAAAAAATTAAAGTTATTTAAAGAAATATATTAAGGGACTGTATAATTAAACATATATTCACTAAATTGCTAAACATATTATCTCTGTATAATCAATGAATAACTATAGATATAGTTATCGAATAACTAAACATCAATGTTCCCTCTAAGGACCAAGACTGTGTGTGCAAAAAATATTTTTTGTGCGCGGTGCTAAAAATGACTTGGGCAAGTTAATATGTATGTTTAGGCTTGCAATTAAGCAGCGTAATGAAGGCATGCATTTTGATAAATTAATAGTATAATGTGTAGGACTAATGAAACGTATGCAATTAAAAGAAAATACGAATCCCATCTAAATAAAATAAAATTCACAACAGAAACTTTTAGAGTTATACTTAGACAACAGGTTATATGGTCGACTTACTATGTTAATGTAATGCAATTATAATGTTAATACTGTTAATACCATAACGGTAATACAAATACAACAGTTTAACATGTAAACCATTTTAAAGAGCTGACTTGAAAACAAAATTAGCTAACCTTTCAGGGGCATTTATTGCAATTTCTCGCGTCTAACCTTGCCTTGCTTGCATACCTTATATGCTTTGTTTAAATCCACATCCTCTCCAGCATTTAGATATAATTTAATTCGCATTCGATTCTCCAAATGTGTGGCTTCAAGTCTATTTCGTGCTTGTATTTTAATGCTTTTCATAAGAATAAAACCTCGCTCGCAATCAGCGCTGGATGCTTGAAATGTAAAGCATTATGTCAATTAACTTTGCCAATGAGCTAAATTGTTCATCATTTAAAGCAACTCCTGCGATTTCAGTTAGTGAATTTACTGAACCTGATTTGAGTTTTTCACTGATCTGAAATTTGAAGTTATTGTATTGCGTGATAATTGACTCTTCATTTGTTGTTTGTAACACGTCTTTGTACTTTATGCACAGTTCTTTGATCTCTTTGACGTCAAACTCAAATGCACAATTTTTTTAAACCAGTATGATCAAAAGCTGACGAAAACTGCAGTTCATCTCCTGGAAACCTTACATTTAAATGTGTGATTTGT